GCAAATGACATAACAATTGTGGGAGTGGAAAATAATGAAGAGGACAGATCACTGATAGGCAGCAATCTGGATTGATTGATAAACTGGGTGCAAGCAAACAATGGGTTTTAATATGGCTAAATGTAAATGTATACATCTAGGAACAAAGAACGTAGGCCATACTCACAGAACGGGGGACTCTATCCTGAGAAGCAGTGATTCTGAAAAAGATTTGGGGGTCATGGTGGATAATCAGCTGAACATGAATTCCCGGTGTGCAGCTATGGCCAAAAAGGGCTAATGCAATCCTTGGATACATAAACAGGGGAATCTTGAGTAGGAATAGAGAGGTTATTTTACCTCTGTAGTAGGCACTGGTGCAATGACCAATGCTGGAATGCTGTGTATAGTCCTGGTGCCCACAATTTCAGAATAATTTTGATAAATCAAAGCGGGTTCAGAGAAGAGCCATGAGGATTAGATAACCTGCCTTACAGTGATAGACTCATGGAGCTCAATCTATTTAGCTTCACAAAAAGAAAGTTAAGGGGTGATTTAATTACAGTCTACAAGTACCTACTTGGGGAACAAATATTTAATAATATTTGGCTTTTCAGTCTAGCAGAAAAAAGTATAACATGATCCAATGGCTGCAAGTTGAAGCTAGAAAAAAAAATCAGACTGGAAATAAGGTGTCAATTTTTAACAGGGAGGGTAATTAACCATTGGAACAATTTACCACAGGTTGTGGTGGATTCATCACTGACAATTTTCATATAAAGATTGGGTGTTTTTTCCTAAAACATTTTTGGGGAAGTTCTATGGTCTGTGCTATACAGGAGGTCAGACTAGATGACCACAATGGTCCTTCTAGCCTACGAATCTATGAATAGCAGTAAGTGAACAGTACAAACAGGGGAGAAGGTTATGCTTTTAGACAAAAGTTGAAACTGACATGCAAGCATGAACCTTGGATTTAGCCAAAAATACTTGAGAGCTAGAGCTTGCCAAAAATATGTTAATGCTGATGGTATGAGTATTTAGTTTGAACCAGGTTTTTAGCTCCCTGTACAGTCATAAAATAACATCTTGGCCTACAGAAATGTTCAGGACCAGATAAATACAATAAGCAATTCTTATGGAGAGACATATTATAAAGAATTATTATTCTGCACATCTTAGAATAAAAAGCCATCAAAGCACACATCAGTCATCATGATACTTGAATTTAATACATCATTTTACATTTAAAATGATTACTTGCTATAAAAATAACAAAGATCAGCCAGATACAATAGAACAAAGGATACTATAAACCACTTATAAATATTCCAAGTGAAGACATATGGCTTTTTATATCAATGCGTTGTGCTTACTTTGGAAGTCAGACCCTAACGTGGAGATATGGAAGCTTGGGGGAAAGGGAGAGGGAATATTTACATAAAATGGTATTGATTTAAACTGCTAAGGTCCTAAAATATGTATTTGAACATTTGGGTTTGAGCTGGAAATATTGAAATCTGAGCCCTTAAATGGAAAAAAAAATAGTAAATGAATACCTGATGAAAATGAACCATACTGAACAGATGAGCAGCAGGGATGGCTCTGCATGTTTTTGGTGGGATTATCCCTATTTGCTGTACAAAGAGCAAAGCTCACTGACTCTAATGAAAAACAATAACAGACACAAATTCTAGAGCTATTAAACGGCTGCTTTCCATTTCTCTCATTCTAAATCAACCTCACATTGGGTTTCAATGCTGTGAAGGAGTGCAGGGGGGGAGCGGGGTTGGGTTTGGCAATACTGCAACTCAGCTCTCAGTCTTCACCTTCCAAAAATTCAAGGCCCAATTCTTAGTGACTAGCCTAAACCTAGCTATGCAGGGGAGAAAGACCCCTGGTGCTACCACGTTAGGGCAACACGCATCTTAGGTCCATGCGCTATGCACTCCAGATGCTCAACCCAGAGAGCACATGGATGGGAAGGGATGGGGAAGCCTTGCCTCCCGGCAGAGCTTGGGAGGAAGTAAACTGTACCCTTGCAAGGGCTGCAGCGAAATGATCGCTCGTCCCCTACACAGCACAGGTGGAACTGTGCCTCCCTGAGCCAAGGCTCCTCTTGGGGCAGTGCAGCTACTCAGCAACCCTCACACACGGCTAAGTGCAAAAGAAACAAGTCTAGCCCTTTGTCAATAGAGCAGGAGGTGGAAAAGAGAACAAAGAAAGGGTAGGAGGTGAGTGAAGAGACAGTGATCCCTCACATATGTTTTTTGTTCAGGATATTTTATATTCCACCTCGCCCCCGTCCCACTCTCCAATCTTAGGTGAGATGCCTCTTCCAGAACCTTCTCAGATTTAGGTCCACGATATTCTGGGGTTTGTGTCATGCCACTGGATTATCGAGAAGACTATTGCTGTTATGCTGCAAATTCCTTTGCTTTCATCATCTCCAGCAGCTTCTCTTATTTATTTAACCATTTGCTGGTTTGACAGAGGAAGAAAAAACAGGCAGTCTGTACCCAGAATAATACAAAACAAGTCACCTCAAACTGGTGCTCTGTAATGACACCTTGCTGCTCTCCAGGAGGCATTCTGGACTGACAATAAACAACACATTAATACTTAACACAGAATCACCTAGAAAGAAAAGATGGTAAGGTTACTTACTTTGTACAAAGCAACAGAGGGTTCTGTGGCACCTTTAAGACTAACAGAAGTATTGGGAGCACATAAGCTTTTGTGGGTAAGAACCTCACTTCTTCAGATGCAAGAAGTGAGGACTTGCATCTGAAGAAGTGAGGTTCTTACCCACGAAAGCTTATGCTCCCAATACTTCTGTTAGTCTTAAAGGTGCCACAGGACCCTCTGTTGCTTTTTACAGATTCAGACTAACATGGCTACCCCTCTGATACTTACCTTGTACAGTAACTGGAGTTCTCCCTCTGGGTGCTCCACCCCAGGATGTTACTACACCTGTGCACTCTTGAACAGGGATTTTCTTCAGCAGCGTCTGTGGGTCCACTTCTGCACACTAGATATCCTTGTGCTGTAGTATGAAGGTATACTGGGGTGGGGGAGGGGAGGAAGGCAGACCTCCTGTTCCTTCTCAACCATGGGAGTCCAGTGAGAAGACTCCGAGGCAGAGGGGAAGGAGGGTGGGTAGTGGAGCATTCACAGGGGCACACATCTGGAAGAACTGCAGTTACTGTACAAGGTAACCTCTCCTCTTTCTTCAAGTAGTGTCCTTATGGGTGCTGCACTGCAGGAAAACACAAGTTGTCCCTCAATTACAGCCAAGGAGGTGGATTCAGTACAGACCGTAGAACCACATCAGCTCTGGAAGCAGGTATGATAGTTTAGTGCTGGGAAATTGTGTGCACCAAAGACCAGATGGCTGCTCTGCAGACATCTGAGACAGGAATGTTTTACATTCACCTGAGGAGGGAGACAAGTCCCTGAAGTGTCATAACAGGTTAAGATGCATCCTGAAACCCATTTGGACAGCCTTTGGGTAGACATCAGATGTCCATTCATTAGTTCTGTGATCAAGATGAAAAGCCTAGGAGAAGTCCTGAAGTACTTAGTCCTGTTGAGGTAAAAGGCCCTTCTTACTTCCCATGTATGGAGGCTCACTTCTTTTCTCAAAGATGAGGCTTGGGATAAACCACCAGCAGGTGAATTTCCTGATTAATGTGGAATTCTGAAGAAACTTTAGGGAGGAAGCAAGGATGTGTCATCTTGTCACAATGGTGGGTCAGCCATCAGGGGTCCTAGCTCCCCTACCCTCCTGGCCAAGGTGATAGCTATGAGGAGCGAGGTCTTGAGAGACAAATGAAGGAGGGAACAGTTCCCCATAGGTTCAAATTGGGGTTTCCTCAGTGCGTTGGGGTCCCATGGTGGAATAGACTCCTTGACAAGAGGAATAAGGTTGAACAGGCCTTTAATAAACCTTGTAGTGATCGAGTGAGTGAAGACTGAAAACCCCTCAATGGAGGGGTGAAAGGCTATGATGGCATGTCAAGGCTGTATCCCCACTTTGAACTTTAGGGTACAAATGTAGGGGCCTGCATGAAGACTTCTAAGCTTAACTACCAGCTTAGCTCTGGTCCGCTGCCACCATTCCCAAATGGATTCCCTTCTCTGGGAAGCCTTGAGAAACCTTTCACCAATT